AACAGCAGAATGTAAAACTGGTGACTGGGATTGATGAAGGAGGTCGGAAAATAAGGGAAGTGGTACAGGAGTGAATAACTGAAGTTGGTGCAAACAAGGAAACCATGGTTGAGCCAGCCAACAGGAAGCTATCAGAAGGACCTGGCATGGAGTGGTATGGATTAGGGAAACCATCTGATGAAGTAATCAGATAGAAGGATAACCATATAGGAATTTCTGCAACCAATCTTGACTGAAGGTATCAATAGAGAGATAACTTGTGATTCAGGGTGGTGGAAAATGTATCGAAATGAGGAAAAAACCGACTGCCAAGCCACAGGAAAATGAGAGGATGGATAAATCTTGTCGGGGCGGGAAAGGCGATCCGCCACTAGATTGAAAGCACCTGGAACATGACACACAATTAAACAAATGTGGTCGCTTGAAGCGATCCAATGTACGAAAACAGAGGGATCTCAACCAAGTTCCACCTTGGTGATTGACATATGCCACCACTTTTGAATTGTTGGAAAGAATCATCACCAGACAATAAGGTGATAGGGAGGAAGTAATCCAAAGCCTGACTGATAGCTAGAAACTCTAGGACATTAATATGGAATGACTGCTCATCTACAGACCAAAGACCCAAAGCCTCCTGGTGATTGACACATGCACCCCAGCCCTGATGGGACATGTCCATAAACAGATTTACATCTGAAGAAGGAGGAGAAAGTGGGACTCCTAAAGATGTGCGAGTCTTGTCCAACCACCAAATCAGATCATCTGCTACAGAAGGTGAAAGAGTAATAGGAGCATCCAAGGGATCCCAAGCAAAGGGATCCCATTGATCATGCAGCACCCACTGTAGGGAATGCATGTGTGCACGACCTATGTGGATCAGCAATGTCGTGGAAGACCACATCCCCAAAAGCAATAGAACCTCACAAGAGCAGACAGGGAGAGACAAACTGACAATTCCATAGAATGGGGTCGGAAAGGAGAAGGTTGGGCCCGACTGAGGTGAGTGTTGAAAAGGACACCCAAATGTACAAGGTATTAGGTAGGATGTAGGTAGGTCTTCTTCAATTTGAGTAATAAGCCCACCCGAGCAGCCACTTGAAGGAGCTGATGAGTATGACTGGCTGACTCCCATTCAGAATGGGCCAGAAGAAGCCAGTCATCCAAGTAATAATGGAAACAGCCCCAGGGCATGAAGATGATGAGCAAAAACCCTGACCAACAGAAAACATAAGGTGCAGAAGCAAGCCCAAAGGGTAAGGTGTGGAATTAGTACACCACCCTGTGATGGACAAATGGAAGATATGAACAAGACCATGCTGAGACAAAAATATGTAGGTAAGCATTGGAAATGTTCATCTTGATCATCTATAAGCCTGGAGAAAATGCCCACCAGAGGGTGAAACAGGACTCCATGGTGAAACAGGTGAGGTGAATGAAGCAATTGAGGCAGGACAAATCAATAACAGGCCTCCAGTCCTCAGTTTTCTTGGGAACAACAAATAGACAAGAGTAATACCACAGGGAATGATGGGTAACAGGTTGGATAGCCTGTTGAGCAAGGAGGTCCTACACTGCCTCTGGTAGATGCTGACAAATAACAAGATCCCAAGGTGAAGGGAAGGAAATGGGTACAGGGGACAAGGGATCTGTGGCAAGAAATGGGAAATCCTTTCAACAAAACTTGAAGAACCCAAACACCATTGATGAAAGGGTGCTGTTGATGAATAAAGGCTGCAAGTCTAGCTCCCATCAGGTAGTCACCAGAACTGTTGGTGATGTATCGTGCATCGTCTAGAAAAACAACGAGCTGTGGCACCTCGAGAAGGTAGGATGGGTAAGGGTTGAGAAGGGGAAGGATAAGAAACTGGAATTGGTCCCACACTTGGCTCTGACTGAGACAAACAGGCTACCAGATGGGAAAGGGCAGACTGATCCAAAGCCCATGGGTGAGATAAGGCATGCTAACATCGTCGTGTAACTGAGAGGCGAATTGTTCAGCATGGATCCAAAAGTAAGGGAATGGTAGAAAACTCATATAGAGTTGGGAAGAATAGTCATGCAGTAAAGAATACCTGGGTCATAAGAAATAGGAGCGAATGATAAAACATCACATACCTGAGAAATAAAGTAAAAGAAAAACTGTGGAAGGCCAAACTGAATTCTCAGGAAAGGTATGGGAAGGCACAGCAAATTCAGGAGGCGTATACAGGTGATAAAAGTCCTTGTCAGTCCTTGAATAGGGCAAGTACCAGAGGATTAGAAGTTAGCTAATGTAACCCTCTTTTCAAGGGAGGTTATAAAAAATTGTCCCAGTAATTATAAACCTATTAGTCTTACATCAGTTGTGGGAAGAGTCTTGGAAAGTGTTAAAAGATGTTTTGCAAAGTCATTTAACAAAGTTTAGAATTTTATTGGAGAGTCAACTTGGTTTCACTAATGGAAAATCTTGCCTTACAACTATTTTGACATTGTTTGAAAAGGTGACTGCTTATGTAGAAGAGGGTAATGGTGTAGATTTGGTGTATCTGGATTTTAAGAGAGCATTTGACAAGGTGCCACATAAAAGGCTTGTAAAAAAAATATCTCTATATATGTGGGATAAGTTAGCAAATTGGATAGAAAAGTGGCTGGATGGAAGAAAGCAGAGGGTTGTTCCAAATGGAGTTCAGTCAAACTGGATTAATGTCACAAGTGGGGTACCTCAGGGCTTAGTCTTAGGACATTTGTTCTTTTTAATTTACATCAATGAAATAGATAAAGGAATAGTCAATAAATTACTTAAACTTGCAGATGATATTGAGGTCTTGGGTGTTAGTAGCTGTGAAGAGGATGCTGCTGATTTACAAAAGGATGTAGATCATTTAGTGAGTTGAGCAAATAAATGGCAAATGAATTTTATTTATAATAAATGCAAGATAATGCATGTGGGTTATCGTAACTTGAATTATAAGTATAATTTGGATCGGAATAACCTTAACATTGTTATGATGGAGAGAGATCTTGGTGTAATAGTCGCTTAGTCTCTAAAGCCATCCAAGCAGTGTGCTGTTGCTAGTGGTGGGGCAAATATAATTTTAGGTTGTATCTACAGAACTATTAAATACAAATCTAGAGAGGTTATTACTTCATTGTATAGGTCCCTGGTTAGGCCATTTGGAATATTGTGTTCAGTCTTGGGCTCCTTAATTTAGGAAAGACATTGAATTGTTGGAAAGGGTTCAGAGAAGGGTTACTAGAATGGTGCCTGGGATGGAGGGATTGTCATACGAGGAGAGGTTGAAATCTCTCAAATTGTTTTCTCTTGAAAAAAGATGAGTTAGGAGTATCTGAATGAGAAGTTCAAGATTGTGAAGGGAATTGATAGTGTTGATGCATCATCATTTTTCATATATAACAGTTAGAATGGTAGAACTGGGGGTCACAAATAAATTTTGGCAAGAACCTTTACGGAACCTTACCTGTAAAAAGATTAAGATGTTTATGTTGTATGGAAATGAATGTAATAAGTTGTACATAATACATAGTAAACATTACCTATACAAGAAGAAAAGCATTGTTTTCGACTGATATTTCTGAAAATTGAAAGTAAAAGAAAGTACACATGTAGGCCTAATGTTCATTCAGGTGGGTATATTACATAAACAGTAGTATGTGTATAATGTTATATTAGAGTAATAAGCTGATAACATTTTGAGGGATATTTGTAATAATTCCAGCATCATTTGTACCAAAAAACACTGTTGACAAAACTTAATTAATATTTATGTTATAAGTTTAATATGTCATGTTTGATACAAATAACTGAATTTATTTTTGAAAACATTTTACATTACATGTCCGATGTTTTGAGATGTCTTAAACATTGAATATGCAGCATTTATGCTACTAATGTATTTCTGTAAATTATTCATCAAAAAAGCTGTTTACAATACTGAAAAATAAATGTGAGGTCAAATCTATCATCTGATTTACCACTTGTCACAGTTATATTGGTAAAATGAATGATAGATTGGGCTTAACATTTATTTCATATAATGTTTACCATAACATTCCACAGAGTACCTTTTTTAGAGCTCATTAATGTCTATTTTCTTAATTATAAAGTAATAATTTATTATTATCCAAAAAAACATTTTAAATATAATATGGTCCACTAGTAAAATGAATGCACTATTTATAAATGTTAATTTCATGAGCAAATTCAGACAAAGCACTTTAAGAACCAAAACTATGAAAAATAGATGACATATTTATATGATTTCAAAAAAGTATTTTGTAACAACTGTTTAGAATTTTGCAACAGTAATAAGCACATTCTATATTAAAACTATTGATTCACATCCAATTGTAAATTCAGATTCTTCTTATCAAACAATCTACATGAATATTGATAACAGTTCGATCAGATGCAGTTTGGACACTTAACATTTACACTGTTTCAGCATTTAATTAAACTCTAAACTAGTGCTAGTAGTTATAGTAATATCAAACACTCTTCAGTAGTCTGTACCAGTACTGCTACTATTAGTATTAACACTACTAGTACTAGCAAGTAATATTTAGATTATAATCAAAAACTATATCACTATCAGATAACATTAAGAATAACAGCTAACACATATAACATACAAAACTACAAACTAATCTTTTCTTTTCTTTAAGTTTACGAGAATCTTAACTCGGATTGTTTAACTTAAAATATATCTAAAATTAATATAAATTACTAAAATTATCTTATCGGTTACTGTCGGAGCTACGGTGTTAGTATGACTGTTAGTGTTACTAGTATTAGTGTTATTGTTAACGTATCATATAAGTAATAGTTATAAAATATAAATAAATATTGAAGTATTGTGACTAGGCTTAATTTTCCGCTAGTAAAAATGTAAATCTAACGTTAGTATTTATGGTTGAAAGGTTAATATCTAGGTTTACTTACAATTCTAGTTATAAGTAGAAACTTAAAAATAAAATGTAATCTAAAATTAATTCAGCTGTACCGTATGTTCCCCATCCGAAAACGACAATAGAAACTCTTCCTCACAAATAAAATCATCTGGTCTTAGACTGATTGAACACTTCAGCCTCCTATCGGAATGAAAGAGTGACCACGTTTGAAAGGCCAGGGGTTATTTACGTCATTGAAATTATCTGTATTCCTTTAGGCAGCAGTCCGTATATTTCGATTGTTAGCAGTTTTACAAACCGTGTCTAACTTTGAGTACACTACCATTTACAAAAGAAAATACGCAATACAGAAATTATCAAGATTATAAGAATGTCCCAATGTACAGAAAGAGTACGTTCGGTCCTTCTTTTACTGTGATATTACTAAAAACATCTTGTCAGGGATAAATCCTTACACATGTATTCACAAATGAAATCGCCTGGTCTGGAATACTCTTGTTAAAATAAAAGATGAGCACATTTGAAAGACCAGGAGCTATATATGTAACTGAAGATATATTTTCTTTATTATTTTAGGTGACAATTAGTATACTTGGACTAGCTGTTACAAACCTTGAGTACAATGATATTTACAAAAGAAAATACGCAATATATTTCAATTTCAATGAAGAAATACGATCAGCCCTCCATTTGTTACTACTTAACAAAAGTGTAGTGTTTTGAGGTTAACTTAGTTCAAAAGTACTAGATAGTTAAACCCGCTAATAATAGCAGAGTCTATCAGATAATAAGGGATGTATTTTCTATGTGAAACTTTTACAAACAAAAACAAACGAGACTGGACCAGTTTAACAAAATAAACACAATATTTATTATAAAGTTTGTTTCATGAATTTCACAGAAAGCTACTCGAAGATTATCAGCACTAGCTGTATCCAGTTTAAAAGTAATAAACTATAGGGAAGGTACCTAGTCAACACCACACACCGCCAACTGTTGGACTACTATTTTACCAATGAAAAGCGGAATTGACCGCAACGTTCTAATGCCTCCATGGCTGAAAGGGCGAGCATGTTTGGTGTGATGGGGATTCGAACCCGCGACCCTCAGATTGCGAGTCGAGTGCCTTAACCACCTGGCCATGCCGGGCAGCATGTTCGGTAACAAGATTCGAACTTACGATCTGCAGATTGCGAGTCGCATGTCCTAACCACCAGAAAACCTGTTACAAAGCAAACAAAAAGAAACACATAGTGTACGTACTTTCGCACATGAAAATACAATCACTTCTATCGGACTGTGATTAGATTCTTACCTTTCTCTTCGCAGAATAGACTTCTGTCAAATTAAAAACTATGATCTTAAAATGTATCTTTACTCAAAAAGCATAACTGAAGTATGAAAGTGCCCTTCAATTCTACAGGTAAACTTGGTTTCATTGTCCAGTCATTAGTGTCACTTCGCAAACATTATTCTCTCATAACATTGGTTGGCTGCAACATACAGGCAGACTTGATTCGGCCAGAAATGGATTTACAGTTGCTAATCCTTTCTTGATGTGCAGACATATCATATGTTTTCTACCTCGTTTAGCTATAAACGATTTTTTTTTAATTTTTCGTAGATGAGTTTGTATATAATTTTAGCATAAACATGGTCCAGAAGGTCATTGAGATTGTCTTATTTCGGATTCTTTGTTTCTTTGTTCTGTATAGTAGATAATGTCTATTCTGACCGAGAGGATATTGCAGTAACGTATAGCATCCAGGTTGGAAGGATTAGCAACCTTTCAACCTTTTATTTCTCGAGACACTTTTACACGTAATCTACAATTTCCACAGCCCCCCTAACATTTGAAAACCTAGTTAACAGTGGCATAGCCAAGGGAAGGACAGCCATAGTGATGACAATATTTTGCTATAATCTCGCGACACCCCTAGAGACATTTCGCAGCACCCTAGTTGAGAAACATTGGATTAGCGACAGTAATATCCTTTGGTGGCTAAGTTGACTAATGCTGTGAGAAAACAGTGCCACGAGGTAACTCTGTCGACTGCACATAGAGACCGAGTTTACCTGTTGAATGCAGACGCGTTTTTTAGCTCTCTTTCTAACTGGAGTTTTTACAGTAAAGACCTACTTTAAAATAGTCATTTTTAGTTCGATAAATGTATAACTTCAGAGAAAGAAAGCTGGAGTTAAGTACACTCCAATAGATTGAGTGTCTTTTATTGTGTGCTGCGTTTACCTTTTGTTTCTTTCATAATTAAGATTGTGTTCATTTTGCCAAACTTGTTCTGTCTCATTATTCGTTGGTAAAGATTAACTAAAGAGCTAGCGGTAGGTGGTGTTGACTAGCTGCCTTTCCTCTAGTCTATCATTTCAAAATTAGGGACGGCTGGCGCAGAAAGACTCAGAGTAGTTTTGTGCGAAATTCAACAAGGGAATAAAAATGTCTTCCTAAGCATATGATTTTGTTTATTTGTTTGTTTTTTTTCTTGTTAAGCACAAATCTACATAATATGTTATCTATGCTGTGCCCACCACAGGTATCGGAACCCGATTTTTAGCGTTCTAATTCTGCAGACGTACTGCTGAGCCACTGGAGGACGAAACTCAACTTTATTTTAACTATTTGTACACAGCGTTATCCTCCGTCTCTTCTTATTCCGAATGCATTTATCACTTGACGCAATATTTTAGATATCAATAGTAATTTTCAAAACTCACATTAATGAATATTAAAAACAAGCTGAAATACCCGTCAACTGATGGGAATGTTTAAACTTAATTAAAACAATGTAAGTTCAACAGCAATCATATATTTCAAAGTAATAACTTGAACATAAACTTTATCTCAAAATTTTATTATAAACAACATTTGCAGTTTGCTTTTCATCTACCAACAAATAAAGATTTTGAGGTGATTCCACCCTTGAACACCCTATATCTCATTGACCATGAGAAAAGCATGGTTGTTTGAGAAACAATCCAGAAACTTTCATACTTTGTCCTTGAATCCCTCTGGAATATTCAACATTGTCTAAAGTGTCAACCTGCCAAGATTGTTTGAGATTGACTTAATAGGCTGGGACTAATCAATCACAGGCTTTGCAAAATTGAAATAAGACATTCCTCGTAGTGTTTACATACATACAAATTGAAATGAGATTGGCCCAATAGGCTCAGAGGAGTAAGGGTGCAAACAAACACGCATTTCGTCTTTATATATATAGATGAGAGAAATTTGCATACACACTCACTCAGGTAACAAGCAAAGGCGTTGCTAGGTGCTTAAAAGATTTGGAGCTCAGGTCCATAAGCGCGGGAATTTTCTATATTTAAATATCATATCAATCATGGTTTTGTATTCTGATTTTTCAAGACCCAACTGGGGATTTGGGGCACGGGTCCCCTGGTGCTAGTGTCTAGCGATACCTTTGGTAACAAGGTAATTTACAGAGTAACCTAAAATTCTATTATACATGGAACATTATTATTATTTGTAAATAAAGATCTAACGATTTTACATAAATAATTAAGTACAATGATCAGTAGCAATGGAACTTCCTTTTAGCAGGGGAGAACGATTTTCAACGAACCTGAAACTGTCAGATATTATTTCCACAAGAATGGTATTGTTATGAAGTAAACTATATACAATATATATGTTTTGTTTTTTAAATTTTGACAAATGAAAGCTTAGAATATCTAAAACTGAATCTCCGTTATTGTTTTGAGCCCCATAGGAATTTCTATACTTGGGAGCGAGTGTGTGTTTTTTATAACAAAGCCACATCGTGCTATCTGCTTTGTCCACCATGGGGAATCGAACGTCTGAAATTAGCGTTGTAAATCAATAGACTTACCGCTGTCCCATCAGAGGACTCTTGGGGGCGAACGCTGATGCTCCCGCTTTCTTACCCTAAATAAGTATACGTACTATTATATATACTCTAAATTTGTTAGGTCTTGATTTGCCAACGAACAAATCCATGTTTATGAAATCAAGCAAAAAACAACAACAACAACAACAAATAAAATGAGAGGACAACCTGCTGTAAAAACACAAATTAATACGATTTAGGACGTAAACAGTTTCGTTTACCAAATACTAGGAACTAAAATGACGTGATTACAGTGGTATAACAAGACAGGGAACATAAAGGTCTGTCGTGATCTAGTCGTTAGTGTGCTGGACTGTGAATATGAGGGTCCATGGTTGTTGTCTTGTTGGTGCAAAATCGCGCTCAGCACTTTAGGACCGTGAGCGTGTTGTAAGCGTGTTATTTGATTAGAGTAGCTCAAGAGTTGGTGGTGGGTTGTGTTGACTAGCTGTGTTCTCTCTAATCTATTAGTTCATAATTAGAAACGTTCTTCTTCGAGAGCTCTTGTATAGTTCTTTGCGAATATCCAAAACAAACAAAGAACGTTATCGAAAGATGTAACGGCAGTGAAACTTTTGTATTCATTAAACTTAAAAAATTACAAAGTTCGAATTCCTTGTAAAATTACGTTATTGATAGCTATAAAAGTTAGAATACGTTAAAGTTTATCTTATTTATATTGAATTATAAATGCTAATTCTTAACTCTGCCCCCCAGTGGCAGAGCGGAATGTCTGCGGACTTACAACGCTAGAAACCGGGTTTCGATACCCGTGGTGGGCAGAGCACAGATAATCCATTGTGTAGCTTTGTGCATAATTACAAACAAACAAATATTAATTGTGTTATTCTATTTTAACAATAGATAGTGAATATTGTATAAATGTATTATTTCTAAACTGATTCTGACATGGAGAACTAAAAAATTTTTTTTTACCTTATATATTAATATATATATTTGGTTGAAGTGAAAAAAGGTACGTATATGTTTTTTGTTATTCAGTAACTAAAATGTGAAAACAAATTATGTTATCTACATGGTATCATTTTTATTTCTCTATTCACATTTAACGATAGATGGGGGCCGCTGAAGGTTTTCAAAATGCAAAATTATTGTTGCCTTACAGACTGAGCTGTGTTGAGTATTCTTATTGCATGGATATATTAGGACCACAGAAGTTCTAGAAAAGTATGAACTCTTGAAAGGTATTTAATTCATAAAAAAGGAGCAAAAGTGGGAAATTTGTGTTACCTATTTCGAAATATAAATTTTGCTTTCA